TTTACAATATATGAGTTTTTATATTGAAAAATGATGCACATTTTCTGTTACCCAACAGTATTTACAGAAGGACACAAAAAATGACTTAATGCACAGAGGGTTGGATAGATACCTCCAAAGAAACCAGAAGAATCACATTTTGTACAGAAACGACAAAATGACATTTACCCCAGTGTGTTCCAAAGCGGTTTAGTATGAGGATAGAGCACACTGGCATGTAACATTCTTTTCACAGTTCATTATATGACTTAAACCGTAATAAAAACAAGATGGGGTATACAGTTATTTTGTGAGCAGAAAATTTATTCTCCAGAGAAAAAAGACTGGTTAGGATATTGTTTTATTTTTTATATAKAAAAAAAAATATGACTTTATTTCAGATTCTATTTCTGTGAATGAGTCTCTAATATTATTTTAAGAATATTCTTGCACCAGGTGTGGTGGTGCACACCTGTATTTCCAGCAGCTCGGGAGGCAGAGATAGGAGAATCTAGAGTTCAAAGCCAGCCTTAGCAATTTATSGAGGCCCTTAGCAACTTAGTGAGACCTTGTCTCTAAATAAAAATTTTAAAAAGGCTGGATTAKAAGACACAGAGACAAACCCACATAAATACAGTTATTTCATACTAGACAAAGACATTAAAAAACCTACATTGGAGAAAAGATAGCCTCTTCAACAAATGGTGCTGGGAGAACTGGAAATCCATACACAGCAAAATAAAACTAAATCTCTTTCACCACACACAAAACTCAACTCAAAGTGAATCAAGGACCCAGGAATTAAACTAGAGACCCTGCACATAATAGAGAAAAAAGTAGATATAAATCATCATCATGTTGGGCTAGGCCCTGGCTTTCTTAACAAGACTCCTAAAGTGAGAAAATCAAGAATTAATAAGTGGGATGGACTCAAACTAAAAAGCTTCTTCTCAGTAAAAGAAACAACCAATGAAGTGAAGAGAGAACCTACATTTTGGGAGCAAATTTTGGCCACACACGTTAGAGAGAGCACTAATCTCCAGGATACATAAAGAACTCAAAAAACTTAACACCCAAAGCACAAACAACCCAACAAATAAATGGGCTAAGGAACTGAACAGACAATTCTCAGAAGATATACATTTGATCAACAAATATATGAAAATACGTTCAACATCTCTAGTAATTAGAGAAATGCAAATCAAAACTACTCTAAGATTTCATCTCACTCCAGTCAGAATGGCAATTATCAAGAATGCAAACAAAATGGTGAGGATGTGGAGGGAAAGGCACACTCATACATTGCTGGTGGGACTGAAAATTGGTGTAGCCAATATGGAAAGCAGTTATTCATTTTTTTATGGTAGACTGAAAATCTGATAACAGAATATCACTGTTCTTTTCTGCACATGGTCAATACTCAGTTTAAGTAAAGTTTCTTTTTTTTCTATGAATCATAAAAATGTCCCTCAAATGGTGCAGACATCACCGGCTTCACATGTCTTCCCCTAGCTCTGTTGGCAATTCCGTATGGCAGCAACAGATGAGATTTTACTTTTTAAATATTTCATACCTGCTTATCTATGGGTTAGAAGCGTAGAACAATATTAACTGGGCTAAAAATTCTCACTGGAATGATCAAAGACATCTCTTAAAACGACTTTTTTTCTGTACTTTCAGCAATAAATCTAGATTTAAAAAAATACTGTAATCTAGATCTAAATGTCCAAATTTATTTTGTTCCTTAATGAATGTAATYACAGCAATACACAGTAGGTTATTCTGTCAAACTGTAATGTTGGTCTATGAGTCCAATCTATTATTGTAAAAAAGAAGAGAGAGGTTATTAACTATAAATAAATATGGACATATCATTTCAGGTATAAAAACATTTGTAAGACAATGGTGAATGTTATATTTGAAAATTCAGCTTAGACCTTAGGTAGGGAATTATAAAGCAGTTCCAAAGTTCCTTTCTGCTTTAAAATTATATGATTTTATTTTTTAGATTATACTCTACTTTGAAAATCCTGACTCAGCTTTGCAAGTTTTTTCAATTCATCCCCATGTTACAATGTTCTTTCACATTCAAATCTGGTTTGTGGGCAACCAAAATATTTCGAKAGAGAAAAGAAAATTGCTGAGAATCTTCCTAGAACCAATATAGCTTTTCCAAAGTCCTTAAGACTCTAATTGGTCAATGCCCAACTGGTGTACTATCAACTGTAATAGTCTTCTTACTATTTTACAAGCCCAGAGCGATGGTTGTCTATTTGTCCTCTGCCCAGGATGACCACCTGATAGACTATAGGGCCAGCACTCTAAAAGAGCTGTAGACAATCTAGGCATTTCTACAGGAAAGTTCTGACCCTACTTGCAAAACCTTCTCACTTTGCTCCCATATCATCAAATCATCTCTGGTTCTTAGTTCCACAATTGTTCCTATAACCTGAAAATAGATTTGGCTTCTTGAATATTGGGTTGAAACTCTTATCTCTTCAGATATTACTTACTCTGCCTCTATTTTTTTCCTGACCATCCAAAAGAATCCTTCAGACAGGAATTAATTTGGCTGACCTCCCTTCTGGAGGCAGAACAACCCATCCTATTTCACTTCTCCTGTCCATTTCATATTCATACCAGGATTTATACACCAGCCTCTGAACCATTCTCCTAACATGAGGTTGTCCCTTTCAAATTCATTCTCCACAACCTTGCTATTCCCATCCTAAAACCCTTTACATATACCTAAAACCTCTCGGAATTCCTTACTGATATAGGATATAGTCCAAACTCCTAAGACGAAGTGTACTTAAGTTGACCTACATAACTATTCTCTGTAACTCCTCTGTTCCTGATACAACTGTCTCCTCATTGTCACTAGACATATCAAGCTGATTTCACATCCCTTGSCACCATAAGCCTGCTTTGCTACCCTCTTAATTCATCTCGTCTTCAAGTAGCTTCTTGTGAATTGTCCACATTGTCTATCCATACTTGAATACACCGAGGACTTGGAGATTGCAAGGGGGAATGATGTCTCTACTATTCATTGTGGTAATACTTGATTAAAAGAGAGAGAGAGAGAGAGAGAGAGAGAGAGAGAGAGAGAGAGAGAGAGCGCCCAGTAATTCAAATGACTTTCAGGATTGTTGTTTTAGTCATTCTTTGAAGACAAAGAATGTGCTAAATTATCTTAGAAAGAACTCTCTACTTCTGTATTTCTCAGATATCCTGAGGTTTTATTTTAAGGAAAATGTAATTACAATTCTTRTTTTCAAACAACCTGATGGGACTAATGTCTAATGCAACTGGCACATTTCTCATTTTGCATGGGTTTTTAATTTTCACAAGTAAATGATTTGGGTTCATACTAATTGCAGTTTGAAAAAAAAWTTTTTTTTAACCCGAACTTTGATGAAGTGGAAGAAGAGCAGAATGATTAAGGTCTGGAATTAATCCCAACTCTGCCAAGTATGAGCTATTTAATCTTAAGCAAATTGGTTAACATCGCTCTACATTACTGCATCATCTGTAAAATGGAAATGTTAGTAATAAGTATAATGTCTTACTGGGTGGCTTTAGTCACTTATTTTCTTTCAGCAATATATACAAAATATATGCAAAGACATGTTACATACTACTGTCATCAATTATTTCCCTATAAAGCAAAGAATCAAACATGGAGACAACATATAAACTTTGATATAATTTTTTTTTTCTGGAGCAGACTTAGCTGTTATCAATAGTTTTCATTGTCTGATTGGATTCATGATTTGGAAGCAAATTAAAGATGATGAGCTCGATTCTTCTCTTTGTTACAGATAGGGAAGGAAGTAAATTCCCCTCACCCAAATGGTTGTAAAGCCGAGAGACAAGGGAACAAAGCCAAGTGACAAAATGAGAACAGAGAAGATGGTTTTCTGGCATTCTCTTAGAGGTCTCCATATCTCGGTGGTGTGTTTGAACTTACATATAAATTGAGGAGAAAAAACACCAATATTTCTCACTCCAGTCATCTGATTTTATTGGGCTTTTTAAAATTAAACTGGTATGTTGGTAAACTGGCTTTAACAAGTTTGCTTTTCCCTAAGTTCWTTCAGTCATATTTTAGGAGGGCTGCAAACATATTAAGATGAAAACAGGTTGTATAAAGCCAAATTTTTTGTCAGTATTTTAACAACCTAATTTTTCATTATAACTCAACTCAAAAGATAAAAATCAACATTTTGAATGTTTTTAAAATCACATTCATTATTATTAATTACATTCAATTAAAATAATATTAATTTGCCATGAAGGTATATTATTGCCATTAGTGCTAGTATTTATCCACATGTGTCTTAAGCCAGAGGGGCAACAATATAGAGTAAAGGAAAATAAAAGACCAAATAATAAATGTAGACATTGAGATATTAAGAATGTTAAATGTGAAGAAAGTTATTAAAGAAAAAGCTTATTCCAAACACTTTCCAACAGGGCCATCTGTCTCTCCTGTGGCTTCTGTTTAGTATTTTCATCCCTTTTCCATTTTCCTTGTTACACTTACTTAAACCTCCTCRTGAATCAACAGGAATATATCACCAAAGATCAGTTTTACTTGGTTCAGATCAAATACTGCAAGGAACTACTGAGTTGTTTGAAAGTAYATACACACACTGTGGAGTGAATTATTTTTCTTTTAAAATGTATCTGAATTTGAAGGTTTCAAATTGTATTTTTAGTTCTTTTTTTGGTGCATTATAATTATACATAATAGTGGTATTGATGATACCATATTTGCACATGAACATAATTTATTCTCCCTTTCCCTTCCTGATCCACTTGCTTTTCTCTAGCATTTTACTTCTATCATTATTATTACTGTTATTTTAATTAGCACATTATAGTTATATATAAAGTGGGATTCATTCTGGTATATTTGTATGGACATAGCATGGATTTTGTTCCCCAGTACTTCCCCATGCCCTTCCCTCTCTGTCCCTCTTGATTTCCTTCCTCAAATGGTTTGAAAACCATGGTTAGATGACAGGTTAGAGGCCAAGAAGTAGATGACAAGGCCGTAGCCTTAGCCTGTTTTCAGGCCCAAGAGCCTCTTCCATCCTTACCAAGAGGAATGCTGACCAGCTCTCCTTTCATAAAACACAAGGGAGCTTTTTTTCATATACTCATCAAATAGGCCTAAAATAATTGTAATACTTCACACACCCTTTTAAATGTTGAGATTTTGTTAATGTTATTTGATATTAACTTTACAAGGCCCTGAGATTAACTTTCTAATGCTGGCTCAATCTACGGTTTGATTGTATGACCTTGARCAAGTTATTTACCTCTCTAAATCTCATTTTTTAAAAATCTGTGAACAGAATGGCTAACTCAAATAAATTTCCTACTAAGTAATGTCCTTCCCTTTCTCATAGGATATTTAATATTTTCAACTCATAATAAAATACAACCTGACCTTAATTTGGGATTATGCCTCATCTACCCTCATTTCCYATGACTGCAAAATTTGAGGTGAGAGAATGAAAAGTTTGCACTCAGATGTGCTTTATTTGAGGAAAATTCTACTTAAATAGAAATGAGAACCAATAATAGCAACTGAACAGTTAAGAATAAAATACCAGAGTAGATAAATGACAACTTAAATATTGACAATATGCCATGTCATCTTTAAGGGAAAGGTGACTGTTATGAAATCATCCATGTACAAATTTTCTTGGCAGCCAAATATTTATTTTCAACCACATACATTCTAATTCCTTGAATGTCAAGCACAAGAAAAGGAAAGAGAGCACTGGAGTCAGGAATATCAGTTAAAGCAATTCTCATGTAGTTGAAATGTAGCTGAGAAGAATCTCTACAACAGGGACTGAATGTTCTCCAGGAACATTGTGACAGAAATTCGTCCCTATCATGAAACCTTCCAGGGGATTAGAGGAGGGCATGTGGCTCCACTGTGCCACTAAAAGAAGAAAGTTCCTGTATGTTCTACATTAGAGACTGGGTCTGATAGGATGCTTCTACCGTGGAATAACCAAAACATCTTCCAGAAATCAGTATATTTAATGAAGGCCTAAAGAAAAGTAAGCAATGACCTTGAAGAAGTACCATACATTGTTTCTTATCCTTCCTGTCCCTTTCTGCAGCTTTGCCTAGTCCCTTAAATTAGCAGAGTTAACCCGAAATCATGGTGCCATGCCTAAAACAAGGGGCATGCATATAACAGAATGGTTCATTTTGCCTTTCTCTCTGTAAAAAGAGAATGTGGCTGAACACATCTTTAAAGGTGGGGCCTGACAATCTGTGCTTTAATAAAACTCTCCTTGTGAGGTAATGTACACTAATGTTTGGAATCCATAACAACTGAGATTCCAATTTCACTACACTCTCCCCACTCCAATCCACAAGAATCACAGGCTTAAATTCACTAAAGGTATAAGGTCTAGCTTCTAATTTCAGTTGGTTCCATTTTATAAAAAGAACCCAGCAAGCTATGACACCTTGACATTTTATCATTATTTAAATCCCCCAAAGCATTACTATTACATCTAACATTTTTTCCAAAAATCAATTGAATGAATATTTCCATAAATATCTGTTGATCTTAGCCACCTTATCTTTCAAATACTCTCTGAATTAAAAAGAAAGGTTATATTAGCAAATTTATTCTTTTGTATTTAGAAAAACCCTAGCAATATGTCAACACAGATATGAAAGGAAGAAAAACCTCCCCATGTTCTCGCTTTTGCTTAACTAAAAGCAGAAATAACTCTCCAGAAAGTATAACTTCCAGATAGCTGACAAGAGAGCTATATAAAACAAAAATCAGATGATATTTTCACCTATCCTACAAAGACTAAAAAAGAATGATGTCTCTGTAAGGACATATTCAGCAGCAAATAGATTAAACAGGTTTGAAAAGCATCCCAGTGCCAGGTAACAACCTGATGGCAGGAAGCCCAGAGTGCACAGTGGAAGAACCCAGGTCCTCTCTATCTGCTCCGGCTCTGCAGATGGCTTTCAAACAGTAGGAATCTTGGGCCAGAATGACTGCTGGACCATCAATCACATCTATATTCTTAGTAGTAGGTACAAAGACGACCCTTGCTTCAAGGAAACATTCTAGAAACTGTGCATACTACTTCTGCTATAGATCACATTTACTAGACCTCAGTTACATTGTCACAAGAGATGCTGAAGAAGAAATCTTTATTCCAAGCAAATTGGGTCTAGTTAAAAGAAAGTAGGGAAGAAATGGTTTTTGTGCTGTACCACAAATGATACTGCCCAAATGCTAAYAAAAGTGGAAAAAATGAGTCTTTTTAAAACATTGTTGGTAAGAGTGTAAGTGGCTATAGTGTTTTTCACGGACAACTTGATAATAGCATCTAACATATTTAGACATGATCCCAACACTTTAAGGAAGTCATTCTTAAAAAATATTGTGTTAGTCAGGGTTCTCCAGAGAAACAATACTGATAGGAAAAAAAAATTAATTATAAATAATCGCCTCACATGATTATGGAGACTAACTAAGATGTCCCAAGATCTTCAATCTAAAGACCTGAAAATGAAGAGGACCTTGGTGTAAGTCTACTCCATGTCCAAATCTGAAGGCATGAGACTGATGTCCCACGAAAAAACAGGGAGGCAGAGAGAAAAAATTCTTTCTTGCTCAGCCTATTGTTCTATTTAGGCTTTTAATATACTGGATGAGGCCTGCCCACTYCAAGCAGGGAAATCTGCTTTACTCAGTCTACAGATTCAAATGTTAATCTCATCCAGAAACACCCCCACAGTCAAAGTCAGAATAATGTTCAATATCTGAGCATCCCAAGGTCCAATTAAGCTGACACATAAAATTAACCATCATGCATATGCATTTGTATTAGTAATATATAAACTATAGTGATTTAAGTATATAGTAATATTAAATATATTCATTGTGCAATCAATTTCAATGACTTGTCAYTTTGCAAAATTAAAACTCTATACCTATTAAATAACAACTCCCTATTCCCCATAACAYCAATGTACTTCCTGTAACCACCATGCTACCTCCTGCCTCCATGAACTTGAAAACCCTAGGTAYCTCTTATAAGTGGAATGTAAGTGGAATCATACAGTATCTGTCCTTTCATCTGTCTTACTTTACTTAGTATAATATCCATGTTCAGCATGTGTCAGAATTCCCTTCCTTTTGGGGCTATATGATATTTCATTGTATATTTATAGAATATTTTATTTACTATTCATCTATCAGAGGACACTTGGGTTGCTTTCATTCTTTGGATGTTGTGATTGATGCTGAGTATCATGTTAATTCTATAGGTTTCTTAGTACTACTGCAGGGAGTATATGTTATTATAAAATAACAAAAGCTAAAGTATATAAAGAATTGGATAAAATAAAATTATAAGATCCTATGAAATGCCTTCTCAGAGAAAGCTGCAACTGATCCTAGATGTCATCTGAGCATAGAAGTCATGTAATTTTAGAGCTGAAAGTGATTCTAAAAATAATCCAGAACAGTTCATTTTAAATGTGAAGATGTTGAATTTGAAGACAGTGAATGGATTTCCCAAAGCCAAGGGAATTTCCATTGGCTCTAGTACCTTTCTAAATTAGATTTGAATTATTTATGGATAGACAAGCTGACTATAATAGAGCATCTCTAAATTGTAGGAACCAGCTTGAAGTTCATGCACAGTTCTATAGAAACTTACACAAGACCTTTCACATAATTGTGGAAAAATTTTATACTTACAAAAACGTTTTAAGGTTTAAAATTATTTTAAATTTACACACAGTAGAGTTGGCTTCTTTATATACAATTCTGTAAGTTTAAAAATATAGAGAGATTTGTGAACACAATAAGGACCACAATCAGAATACAGAACAAAAATATTCCTGCTTCCTCTTTGTAGTCAAACTGGCTCCCACACCTAGGCTCTGGTGTGGCAATTAGGGATCTGTTTTATATCCCTATAATTTTTCTCTTATAGAATATCATATAAATAAACTCATAAAGTAAATAATATTTTCAACTTGTTTTTTTCACTCAGAAGAGTTTCAAATTTATCTTTTTATTATAGAAATAGTTCATTCCTTTTTATTTTGAGGAGTAGCTCATTGTATGGATGTGCTATTGCTAATCTATTTTGCCCATTAATGGTCACCTGGAATGTTTACCAGTTTGGTACAGTTATAATAAAACTGCCATCAACATTGATGCACCAAACAAAACATTTTTGTGTGTGAACATATGCTTTAATTTTTAAGTCTTTGTGTAAACTCAAGTTTTATACTCAGAAGGCTGAGGCAGAAGGGTCATGAGTTCAAGACTAGCCTGGGCAACCAACTCACAAAGAAAAAAAGAAGAAAAAAACATTATTTCTCAAATCCCTACAGGATTCCTAGAATTAATGATAAATGTATATCTTGACACATATTTAATTTTATAAGAAACCGCAACACTCTCTTCCAAAGTGGTTCTACTATTTGGCATTCCCATCAACATATACAGAAGTTGCAGTTGTTTTGAATTTCTTTGCCAGCATACGAAATTGTCCTTTTAAAAAAAGTCTTTTTTAAACATGAGCAGTGTTACCCCATTCTGCATTTAGTTTGGATTAGCCTCATGGTTAACAACATTGAGCCTTTCTCAAGCATTTATTTACCATTCATATGACTTTGTTGAATTCTTAAATCTTTTCTTCATTTGTTAATTTAGCTGATTGTTTTGTTGTTGTTGAGTTTTGAGAATTCTTTTTATATTCTGGATGTTGAATATGTGATTTGCAAATATCTCCTTCCAGATCATATCTTGTCTTTTCATTCTCTTGAGTATCTTTCATAAAGAAAAAGTTTTTAATTTTATAAAATCCAATTTATCAATATTTTCTTCTATTGATGATGCTTGTAATGTCATATCTAATAATTCTTTGCCTACCCCCAGGTCATTAAGATATTTTCCTATGCTTTCTTCTAAGAATCTTACAGGTTTTGTTTGTTTGTTTTATATTCAGACATATAACTCATTTTGAGTTAATTATTATATAAGGTATAATATTGAAGCCAAAGTCTTTTCTTTGCTGATGGCTGTCTACTTGCTCCAGTACAAATTGGTGAAAGGGTTATGCC